AAATATCGAAATTAGAAGAAGAATACACTATTTTTAATTATAGGAAATGCGTTTTTCTAAGGTATATAAACTTTTGGTATTGACTCCTTAAATGAAGTCTGATTTGTTTTTTTAAGACTCCTGAATAGAATCAGTGGAGATTATGTTATTTTCGTTGATTCGGTCCACTTACTAGGACCGGGCATATTTTATTTCAAATGAGATAACTGGACTGTCGTCGAACTTGGAATTATTTCGTGGGAAGTATTGGTTGGCTCGTTCGCGTTCACGCAGAAATTAATACGAATCGTTTCCTCGAACGAGCGCGTAGTAACGGTACCAGAAAAACGAAGCAGCGGAGTCGCTGTTCGATCGGAGAAAAACTATACGGACCGTGGCGGACGGACGAACCGGCGCGACGCGGCCAGGTCTATCTGATAAAAGTCAGATCGTTCAGTTCGATCGAACGCACGTGTGAACGCGTAAACAATTCTCGCGTGGGACACGAAATAGAAAGTCGCGTGTGTTACGCGAAACGAAACGAATTATACGTATCGCGGAAAACGTAACTGACGGGATTTAATTAGCAGCCTCTCTCGTAAGAGACGAACGTGAGGTACCTATCTCGTCTCGCAACGCGGATGGTGCAACGCGCGAGAGGATCCTAGCACACCTTTCTAAGCGGGTCGAAGGACGCGCTCCTCTCAGATTATCTACTTATTAACGTGTAATTAAAAATACCTACTTCTCGATTTACCAGTCAACGTTCCGAGTCATTTTACCCTTTCCGTATTAACCCCTTGACATACAATGACGAGTCTGACTCGTCATTTATTCCATTTAATTTGTATGTAAAGTTCCATTTAATTTGTATGTCAAGGGGTTAAAACTATCAAATTCTTGGAGAATTAAATTAATTTTCATTATGAGCTGTTCTGTTAATTTTTCAAAATGGCGAGGTAGGAAATGGCGTCCAGTTGTGATACAACGAAAAGTGATTTAATCCATTATGGATTTTACTCTCTCAATCAAATATTAACGCTATTGAAAAGCTTCCTCTTGCTGCAATTTATATAAAATACGATTGAACTACTTTTTTGAAGCATAAGCAACTCCGTTAATTAAATAATATTGGTTTCCTAAATCTGTTCACTGTTGTTCCATTCCAGTCTTATAATGGATTACTTAATCTCATTAATGTACAAAATCTTCGGCTTGAATGAACGGTGAACAATTGCCGTTAGCTTTAGCGGTCTAACCTACATACCGCGTGAAATTCGTCTCATTGTTCTGTTAATAATCTCGTTCATTGTGCGATCGCAGGCAGGCAGGCAGGCAGGCAGGCAGGCAGACAGGAGGGAACTCGGTGTTCGCGCGTAGGAAAGAAGGATGGGGAACGGGCTCGGAAAAAAAGAGAACAGGCGGAAAGAGATCTTCAGAGGAGAAAGGTGTCTACACGAAATTCCATTCGAATTAAAGGGGGACGATTTCGTGGAATTCTGTATCCGATCATAATTTACTCGACGATCCTTAAAGTTTTTGTATATAAAAACGAACAATTGTTCTCTATATAGTCTAACATATGCATTATTAACTCGGCTGTGAATCTACCCGGAGGGTAGCATCCCGGACTTAATAGGATATTCTGATGCGGTTCGTCGTTGAACACGCGAGCCAGTTACTCAGACCCTGTTTCGTTATTGACAAAACGTAGCCGCGTTTTCGTGCAGGGAACTCCGTTGAATCACGGCTGGTTCCGACCACTGCGTCGGATCGGTATGCGTGGCGGGCATCGCCGGCGATCGAGGGGACGATAGTAAAGCAAGTTAAGTTTCCTTCGACTGTGAATAGACTTCGAATTGAATTTAAATCGTTTAATTTACCGACGTCAGATCATTGGAACGACCGATCGCAGGCTCTTTATGCTCCGTAACTGGGACACATGATCTCGCCTTCTAATTTATTATTTGTTTCCCCAAGGCTGTACGCGGCAACTCGCAAACTGGATCGAATATGCTCCCGTTAGCGATCCATCCGATCTGTTTACCGTCTCGATCCCGCCACGTGCGACCGTCGAACCGATTCGACGCGCGCCAATTCCAGTTTCCATTCTCTTTGAATCGAACCAACGCGGATTACATGCGGTCTAACTCGACGACGAGTCGCTGTCTGATTTTACTTCGACTGTGTCGGAGGAACATTTAAACCGGTTTCCCCGTTTCGCAACATCGACTTTGTACGAGCGACTATCGCGATGTAGTCGAATTAGTCTTCTAGAAAATGAACTGCGAGTCCCGGATATCGGATGAGATCGAGACCGTTGCGATTTCCATCGGATATTCGTGTTAGTGGGCAACCTGGACAGCAGGCGATTTCTCGAGCCGATCTTCCTCCATCATCGGCGAAATCTCTTTCCCGTTTTAGGAAAACGCGACCGACGATCGCAGGAAAAGCGGGCGGAGCCGGTTTCTCCGTGAGGACACCGCTTGGAAACGTTGTTAGAACCATCTGTCGAAAGTGCGCGTTCGAACGATTTACTCGGGAACGACGACATCGGTCGACGAACGAGGACGTGACTGAACTTTTCGCCAGTTTCACGGTGAATACCGTTACGATCGGTTATTTCGCGACCAACGCTGCTCTTATACGGTCGCGTTTCACGTCTGCTTTCGGGGTGTTAATGTTCCGTTACGTAAGAACCTCTTCGCTTCCAGGTCAAGCAGACTTTCCAAGACCAACGCGTCGCTTCTATATTTGCGCGTCGAGTATTCCTTTCGATTTGCAATATCGACTGTTCGGACACTCGAGATCTCCGCGCGTCTCGCGCCGCGGATTTCTCTTAGAAAAGGCTCGCCGCGCGCGCCGTGATGAATCGCGAGAAAAACGGAGAACCGTGTTTTCTTACTGGTCTCGAAGACCGAGAATCGGATTCGAAGGAAACTCACCGGCAGTAGTCGTTTGCGGCTCGGCGGCCGACGAGAAGAATCCGCCCAGCAGGCAGAGTCCTACGACGGCGCGTAGAAAACATCTTTCCTGGATACGCATCCTACCACATTCTTCCACCTCACGGTCCCTTAAAAACTCGGATTCAAACACCAAAACTCACTCGGAACTGATTCACTTCGAGTCACACTCGACGGGTCCGGTTCCTCCCACGACCTCTTCGATCTGAGAATTTCTGTCTAACTAATTAAAAGACGAGGTGGACACTGTCGAAGGCACGAACGAGGAACGCGCGAAAACTGTTCACTTGGTTCATCGGTTCGGTCGCGATCCGTGCCGAGGCCGGAGGTGAAGTGCACCGGTGAGCGGGATCTACCTCCTCCTTACCGGTTGGCGTCGTTGCCTTTCATTCCTCCTCTCCGGCCAGCCGGAGAATTCTCCACGCTTACCTTGCTACAGGCTGACCACCGCTCTTCTACAGGCCGCTTCTGGCTAGCTGGACACGACACCAATGTACACGGCAACTCCACTTCCTTTCGAAGCGATCCCCCCCTCCGTGTTTTGATTCTCGCTTCCTTGGAGATTTCGTTTCTACCGGGAATCAAGTTTACCCGAGCTCGTTCCTTACTAGTATATAGAAATCCTTTATTTCAGCCTTGTGGCCCAGAAATCGACTTGATTTACAATTATTCTCATTCATATATTCCTTAATCCTAAACACCTACTTTTGTCATTAGACTCTGTACGTCTCTAATATGTAACTCGTACAAAGTAGAAATAAGAGGAGAAATAAGATTGAGTGTAAATTGCAGGCAAGAAAGCAGATCATGTATTGTTCTTTAGTAATAACTTGATAATTAGTTTAAGAAAGCTGTTAACAATTGTTCTACCTTCCTATATGTTTCATTGTAATTAAAGGATTTTCTATTCCATGATTAAATAAATAAAATTATATCTAATATTTGAATTCATTCGAATAGCCACGTTAAGTTTTGATGAATTAATCTTTCGTCGTTTCTATGCAATATTTTATCTGTATACAGTTAATTTGCGTGTATAGCGTTAATATTAGATCGCGTATGCCTCGAATCAAAGGACATACCGAGCAGCATTCCTCGGCGAAAGCGGTGAAATCGAAAGTGTAAGTTGTCGTCCATGTATTTTCATCATTCATCGATCCGGGCAATATGCATCGGTCGGATGAAATTTTAAAAACAGTTTCACCTTACAAAGTAATGCGACGATCGAAGACAATCGAGGCTTTCTTCTCCAGGAAACTCTTTTTTTTCTTCACGAACCAATTAACACACAATTGTTCGAGCTGTGCATCGCGATGAGCACACGCCTTGGAATCACGGGTCGATGCAACGTAACAGCTCGCTGAATTCGTTTGAAATTCGTTGCACTACCTGCCCGGTCTTCCCGTAAGGAAATTAAATAGAGTCGCTCGGAACCTTTTGTTAAGATGCAATCGTCGCATCGATTGTCACATCGATTCTCGTATTTCAGGCGCACTTAACACTAGATTGCCCGAGGAAGTCATTTTGATTGCTTTTGGGCAAATGTACAAATAATAATGCATAAATTATTTTTTTCCCTAGCGTAGTAAATTTTTTTTATTGTTAACATTTACTAATAACTTGTTATATGACTGTAAATAATATAAAAAATATTAAAAATTAATTTTAGACAAATTTCTTTACACATTATTCTTTCAAAATGCAGTCATTTTTACTGCTTTGGGCAATATAGGTATATACTAAGTTTCAGTCTTTCTAGTGTTAAGCTAGTCTAAAGTTAATGGATTTGTATAAAAGTATTTTTTACAAATTTTCAATTTGATGATATCTTTTTTTTAGTGTTCTGATAAATCAATCCTAGTTTACTCATTCCTTTTTATACTTTTGACTGAGTTCCTTGTACCAAGAGAAAGTGTTAGTAGGTCAGGGTGACGACACACGTCTGAACAGTTCTCTGAACTTGAAATTCTCATGATTCAGCTATGACGTCTGTTCACGTTTTTGGAAGAACCGTACAGTAATGGAATACAGTAATAGAATTTGCAATTGAATCTTGTTGCACAATCGATTATTCCTGATGAAAATTAACTAGCGACTACGTTTTTTCGTAATGAGTCACCCGGTAGACGAATCGAGTCCGGCCGAGGACGTCCTCGACTAACATAAGTTTGCTCGGAGAAATCTTTCACGGGGAAAAAGCGAGTGGGTTCTACGTATAGCCGTTCACGCGCACATTCTCACACTCGTAATGATCTCCGAGTTGGTGTTCGTGTCTTATGTCATGCAGCCGGTGAACTAGATTCAAACTCCTAGACATTAGAAAATTGTTTTCTGTGTTACGTTACTTTTACGACTAAGAGTAATCTTTTGATGCTTCAATTATATCACGTCTCTTTCTGTGTGCATGTTCACGCTCCGAGTTAGACAGAAGTTCTTTTAAGCCTATTTCAGTTGTCTCAAGGAACTTGAATCGTTCCGTTTCTAAAGTTCTGAGATAGTCTTCACGAAACGGAATGTTAGTCATCGATATACGTTTTAGATTTTCCAGAGGGATAGTATTTGTTCGAGGATCATTGGATCGAGGATTGCATCGTAACGAATCGGATTATTCATAGTCAGAGGCGTCGTAGAATACTGATCGCTCTGCGCTGGTTAACAAATGACCGAAACACGCGTTCAGTCACAGAATCCATTTCCTACGAATTCATTTTCAAGAGTATTCACTGACGACGGACGTAGCGGAAAGAAACGCGAAGTGCGACTCGTAAAGTATAACGAGCGCAAGGATGGCCAAGGCTAAAGCAGGGAGAAAGACCGAGACGCGGTGAAAGCGTGCCGAGTAATCTGTATGCACACGCATTCCGTTAATTTGCAGCTCGGATCGCTGCGCATTATCGGGTCGGCTCTGTTTTATCTTCCTCTTGAATTATTTATTACGTGCATCGAACAATGAACAATCCTTGTCTCCTCTCAGTGGCATCGATGATATTCGGACAGAAAAACAATGCCAGTCGTGTGACAGAATGAAAGTTGCGTAATAAGTTTTTTAACGACGGATGGATCATCATAATTTTTAATAACGTTCGATCGAAATGTCTGCGCAGTTTTTGAAAGTCTCTTGAGGGCCGCAGCCCAAATCCGACGTCCCGTCGTCGCACTGTCCCCAGTTGTTTGCGGCTCGGTACGTCCATCTGAAGACGCAGTGGTCGCAAACCACGTTTTTCGATAGTTTAACGCGTAAGTTGAAGATCAGCTTGTCATTAGGAATCCGCACTTCGTAATCGCCGTTGATCACTCTAAGTGAATAGCGATTGAAACATTCCTCGTCTTCGAGATCGTTAGTTCGTTTCAAAGGACAGAGATCGAACTTGAAATTTCCCATATGGTTCGCAGTCAACTTTATTTTAACATTGACGATCCCTCCTTTTACGTATCTGTAAGATACGAAGATGAATTCGTTATATTTTCGAAGGACCGACGAAGTATGCGTTATTACTTTTTGACAATTGTACTGTTTCCGTAAATGCCTCCGTTCTCGTTCGGTCTGGGACGTGGCATAGCATAATTGTCACCGCACACGCCACACTTTCCCTTATTCAGATAGAACTGAGTCTATGACGTAAAACGAACGATTAAGTATTTGTTTTTATTATTCAGTATCTTTCTGTACATTCGCGTTCTTATACTTCCGTCAGTCATTTTATTACTTGTCTACTTTACTATAAAAATTTTTTTGTCAACTTTCTTACGAATGTTCCGCCACAGTTTAATTCATTGTCGGTGTAATTTGGCTCGCTAGGAAATCCCTGCCTCCACATGCTGCTTCTGCTAACAGGATCCATCATCGTTCCATGACCATAACTTCTTTGTAAAGAGAAACCAAATGTATAGAATAGCAGTAAAAATTTTACGTACACCATTATCGAATCTCTAATTGACACGATATGATCGTTAATCGTGTTTTCGACTTTCTTATATAGAGTAACTCGAAATTAGCTTATGACTCTTTTGATTATCTTATCATTTCGAATGGGTTGCTTCGAATCGTATATTTATACGTGAAAAATTCATTATTCTTGGCTCTTGACATCACACTGTCCACCTGTATGTATTTAGCTCTCGATTCACTAGTCAATTCGAAGGTGAACCAGTTTGGTCGTAGAGAAATATCGTAGATTAATAAATGAAGGGAAACAAATCTTGCCATTTTTATTTCACGACCCTTCACCAAATGACCAATCCTAGGGGTGGCTACTATAATTCAGTGGTCATTCCCTTTAAAATCATCCGAGTAACTATAGACGATTAATGGAAATGGCTAAATTCTGATTAGTAAATTAATAGATACGAATCTTAGAATTGTTATTTCGTGATTTTTGACCAGATGACCGAATGACTAATCCTAGGGGTGAGTACTTACAGACAGTGGTCAATTGGTCACTCCCTTTGGACTGACCCAAAAAATTCTGCTCGATTATCGATAAATCGGGAGGGAATGAATATGCAAATCAGGAGCCGTGCCTTCTAAGAATCGGCCAATCATTTTGCGCAAACGTCATTTTGTCCAATCCGAAAGGGTATTAAAGGGCCCCGGTGCTCCTCGAGTCACTCGATCGGCATGCAAGCCGGTCGAGCCACCCCTTTTCCCATCCCATGTTCGGGAATAAATGAGAGGTAAGATAAAGAAAGTACATAGTGTAAATATACAACGTACGACATTTATTTCTCTCATTTTCCTTAAATCGATATATCCTACGTACGTATGGGTAGATACAGAGGGTCCTATAAAGGTACATGAATTTTTTCCGTGAATTCTCTGAAAATTCGAGGAGATATATCAGCGTACCCTTACGACATCCCTTTTATTCCTCTCTGTCGTGTGCGTACAACTGTGTATGCGCGCGTGTATGTGTACGTGTATGTGCGTATCCATACTCTCCTAACTTTCCGTCGCACCAGCTCCACTCTTCGGGTTCATACCATGTAGCATAATTCTGCTTGTTTCAACCTTCTATTCGAACCGAGTTCCCGTTCCTCTTGGTTCCACATTCTTGTTTTCAACTAAGTTCAGGACGTCTTGAAAATAGCCATATTTTGACTAATTAGTCAGCACGAACGAGTCGACCAAAGCTTAGAAGTTTAGCCTGATTATTATTGTTTAATTCGCGTCTGTTCTCTTTCCTTACTTGCAAATCGGAACGAGTTAGAAATAAGACACGAGTCCCTTAGTGATATTTACAATATTCATTCCTAAAGTGCTTTCAACGAATCGACGAGATTCGATCGAAATTTCAACCGCAGTTCGTAAATCGATCATCTAAATTTTTCTTCTCGGAGAGTTTTCGTTAGAAAACAGCTCACGCGATTTCTCGATCGATCCGGGACGAAGTTCTAGATAAAAGGTCCCTCCGTTTTCTCTTCAAGAAGAATGAACCGAACGCATTTTATGTACATATCAGTGCTTCTAATCGCAAGAATTATTATTTCACGCGACGTAATATATCACGGTTAACTTGCTCCGTTCGTTCGTCCCTCTTGCCAATCGATACGCGAGGCCCACCCTCTACGGTCCAACAGCTCGGTGTTCCTTTTTTTCCCTCGTTGTTCAGCGAGCCGACGTTAAATGAAATTCAATACAAATGATATGTAAATCGAAGGCGACGTTCTAACGCTACGCGTAAGAAATTTACCTCCACCGAGATCGCATCTCATTCCGTACAAATATAGTATCGCTTTGAAATTCTTACGACGTTATCACCGGGCAAACGTGCCGACTTCCCTCTCTGAATCACCGCTACCCTGTTTTCGAGTTAACGAGAAAATTATTCAATTGAAACTGGTCGCGTTCGCGTGGCCGAATGGACGTAGAGGGTCGAAAATCATCGATTTTTTTTTAACCGAGATTCAATAACGATTTTTTTTATCCTAACAGCAGATTTGATTCAGCTGTCTTGTCCCTCGAGTACGACGACTTCGGTTCTGGTTGCTACTTCCCTTCACTCGCTTTTCTAATGCCACTTGTCAAATATATTGTCATGGATTCTTCTTGCCTGCTGCGTTACTAGATGTACGAACAAGTGGCATCGAATATCGTGCTACCAAATAAAATAAAGTTATAATGTTAGCCCTCGATCGATCGTGAAAGGTATGTATCGGGAACCTGCGGCCTTATTTATCTTTGTAAAAATTTTCTGTCACTATAGAATTAATCGAGTTGAAAGAAGACGACATCGCTAAAGATTTTTTTTTTATTAAAAGAAGTTAATTTCAATAAAAATTTATAATTATATATTTTAAATTTTGTGCCGATATAAAATTTAGATGGATTTACTATTGTAAAAATAAATTAGCATGTACTACCCCGAAAACAGTGGTTCGAACGATACGGCCTTTCGTGTGGAAGAGGTTCCCCATCCCTGGTACATCGTTTAAGGTCACAATCATTTTGTAATCGATTCATTTATTTGTTTGCGTCTTTACAACAGACAAGAGGAATCAACGTGTGATGCGTTAAGGGCACTCGTAGGGTTGAACAGTTTCCTAGAGTTGAACGGCGTTTAGGCCGCGACCGACAATTTTTCAATCCCGTAGAAAAAATATTCGCTCGATTTCCTACTAAACTCTCTGCGCAGCGAAGTTATAAGGTTTTTGTTTTTCCCATGGTTTGCGAAAGCGTACAAGCTCTTTTTATGTTAGCCCCTCGGCCGGTACACCGTTCAATTTACAATACATCCTTCCAACAACTTCCAACAAGCTTGAACGTTGTCAATGACAAGCGTAATCGATTCACGTACATTAGACTAGAACAGTTTCGCACGAATTTTTACGACTAGATACGGGCGAACGTGGTTATACAAAAAATTCCAGTTACCCGGAATAAAAGCAGCTGCGAAATTTGAGGCTTGAGTTTTGACCCGAGTTCGCAGTGTCGGGACTTCACGTGGGGATCCTGCGGAAAAGGAAAAGAAAGGAGGCTTTCAGGAAAGCTTTCTCTTTTTGCACTCCGTCCTCGAACCGTAGAATTTATTCCTTTGCCAAGCGAGGTTTCAAAAGGTCGAAATAAAAATTCGAGAGGGGCTTGCGAGGCAAAATTTCTTTCGGAAATTCAGGTTAAATAACGGGAAAAAGAAGAAAGATTGAAAATACTTTGTGGTCTGTCGGTGTACATGAAGTTGAGAAACTCGAGGACCATCTCTTAGATTCGTGTGACATCCAGTGGTCGATGATCATCGGAAGAAAGCTTTGAAGTCCGTCGCTGTTGTACAAAGAGAAATACAAGTTCGCAACGTATATAAAAAGGAATGTAGGAAGAAGGATTTTCTATTATTCTTTTATTTCCGGGGACTGTCGATTCTTATAAACACGCCCACGTACAAGTTGACAAATATGGCACGAGCGCTCCGCGCGATGCGGCACGAGTTCGCCTTTTGAACGACTATTAAAAACGATAAGGGACGAAACAGCAGGGACAAGAAAATGGAACGAATTCGCTGGTACAAATGACGTTTCTCTGTTAGTTTGGTCAAAGGCAAGAAGATATTCCATTGGTGTGACATCGATTAAATTCTAAGTCGAAGTAACGGGCTGTCGGTGCACCTTGGCAGGGGGCCAGAGAGTCGTTGGAACTTGCTCAGAGACTTCGCGTAGCCTATTGTCGACTGAACAGACCGGTACACATCGGGCGAGATCAAGGATCTACGATAAACCTTCGACCTATTTCATCGATATCGTCCGCCGATTCTCGAGCACCCCGCTGTCATTCCCTGCCGGCAGGATACCCCGTCGGTGCGCCGTCGGTGACGTGGAGTTGCTCGGTACCGACGTTGTCTCCATGGTAGCGCTCGTCGAAGTCAATCTCTTCTGCAAGCCAAACGATATACGTGATCTTTATTGAGAGAAGAAAGTTAATTGTCTCGGGTAATAATTTCGTATTTTTGGTCAATTTACTGGCCGACATTGAGATTCTGTCTTGTCGCATCGCTACCACTTTAATGACAATATCTTTTAAGATCAAATTCCCTTGTCCTCCCAAGGTATATTGTCGTCCGAACTGTGGGAATTCTATTGGAATCAGCGAAGGAGAGACGCGACGATCACTTTGATCATCCGCGTTTATTAACTTTCCCCGGTAGAAAACGAAAATCGAAGTCTATTTGTTCGGTTCAGTCAATAGTTTGATGCAGCTTGAAATATCTGGATCGGAAAGGATCGCCGCGGAGCTTTATGTCTGGCACGCCCGTGCTCGTGGTGAACTTTCGCAATCAGACCCGGGATCACGTAAGGTCCGCGCCGCGGCGGAAGGAAGGAAGGCATCGCTCACTTCCGGCCGCAGCAGCGGTAGGGTCAACCGAGTCCAGGCACGTCCTCGTCAACGGATCCGGGAAATTGCGGCACGTAAAAGCGTCGCGATGCCCTGGGATTACTTCCAATTCGAGTGTCTTCTCGCCCACCCTCTTAAACACTGATCGCGATCTTTGTTTTATCTCGAGCTCGATCGCCACGGTTCGTTAAATATAGAACGCCCTTCAATTTTTCTTATCGCCATATAAATTAGCTTTCTCATTTTTCCTTCTGTTCCGTGAGCAACTTCCCGCAGTTAACACTGAAATAAATTTTCACGAGGATAGTTCAAATAGTTTCCTTATAACGAAGTTTACGTACATAGTTAACCCACTGTCTAATATTTAGTTCAAGAGTACATATTCTAGTCCATAGTTATCCATAATAGACGTAGAGTGAGAGAGAGAGAGGCAGGAGATTGGCAGTTTCGCGTATTAAAAGCGACCGTATTAAACATTCAAGTCTATTACACCGAACGTCTACATGTCCCGTGATGAAATTCTACCATAATTCAGAACGCGATATAGAGAACGTCGTGCAACGAATGGAATAAATAAATAAGCTGAAAAATGTCCAAGTTACCCTTAATTCGGTTCGCTACACTATTTTATCAATCAACGATTTCCTAAATAATAGAGTATTCCCCAATCTGTGTACAGCGTCACGAATTGGTTTCTCGTGTTTCATTGCCAATTCTTGATAGAATTATGAATCATCGAGCGTGCCGGGAGCAGAGTGGCGCGCGGAATTTAATAAAACGCGAATCGAGCTTACCTCGGCCTCGTTCTCTTTGTAGGACCAGAAGTCAATTTGCCTGAGTGCCTCCAGCTGGTTCTCTAGCGGGTCGCTACCGTTGCTCTTCGCCGCGGCATCCCGTAAAGTACCGGGATCCTTCTTCCACGCGTAGATCGGTCGCTCTAAGCCCACCTGGAATTGATTCACCCCGCGCTCTTGCTCGTCCACGCGACCGTTCTCGTTCCTCGCGTCCTCGTCGTTCTTCCTCCACTCGGTTCCCGTGTATTTCGGCGAGGAGACCGCGGAGACCGCGACAAAAGCGTTGTTCTTCGGCTTGGAAGCGGCTGCGTCAGCCGTGGTCCCCGGTTTAGAGATCGGCATGGCCGTCACCCTATGGTACGCGAATTGCTTCCATTTCGCTGGCCACGCACCGGTCGAACTCGCTTTTCCGTAAGTCCACTCGTCGTTAATCTTCTGCTGCCACGGGGACAGGTCATTGCCCTTCGAACTCCATCCGCCTTGATCGTTCGATTTTCTGGACCAAGAGTCTCCCTCGTCTTCTTTCATCTTCACCGACCAGGAATCTTTGGCTGCCTCGTCCTTGGACGTCCACGACTCGTTCGATTTCGTCGACCAAGGACCGATTCTCGTGGCCCAACTGCTATCTTCTTTCGATATCCACGAAGAGGATTCTGGTTTCGGTAACCATCCTTCTTTCGCTTTCCAGTTGGAGTTGCCCGATTTCGTTTTCGGAAACCACGAGCCTGGTTTGTTAGATTTCTCGGGCCAGAACTCGGTCTTCTCAGGCCAGAGACCCGTGTCCGATTGATCCATCCAAGAATCGTTCACTTTCTCCGGCCATGATCCCTTGCTCAACCATTTCCCGTCGGTGTTCGATCTATCGATCGGTTTCGACCATCTTCGAGAAACAGTTTCGTCAGTGGAGTCCATCGGTTTGATGTGGTAAGGCTTCCAGGTAGATTGGTCAGCTGCCATCACCCACGCACCCACCGATTGTATCTTAGGCAAGGCAGCTTCTTCGTTGGTCCACGGGTTCTTCCCTTCGTACTTTCGCCTCCAGGCACTCGCGTCGTCACCTTGCATGCTCTCCGTTTTCCACTCCTTGGAACCTTTCGGCTCCGAGACGATCGACCAAGGTTTTGACTCCCTCGTCTTGTAATCACTAAAGTTGCTCCTATCGTCGTTCGATTTGTACTTCGAAGTCTCCGCCAAAGGCAGCTCTTCTTCCTTCACGGATTCCTTTGACGCGAACACTCTGCTTTGTTTCTCGTCCTTCGACTTTCTCTCGTCGCTCGCCTTTTCGCTCTGCTCCTTCGAACGACCGTTGTTCTGTTTGTCGAGACCCAACTTCTTCACCAGGTCCGCGTTCGGGTTGTACGACTTTCCGTTTTCGTCTTTCGGCCACGGTTTCGCTCCTGGTAGCTTGTGAGGCCACGTAGCCGGGTCGGAGGTCAGGCTGTTCCAAGTTTTCATCGTGATCTGTGGTAGCACGACCTTCTCCTTGTTCTCCGGTTTCGTCGACGACTTATTCAGTTCCGAACGGTTTTTACCCTTATCCCAATTCCCGCTCGCTTGTTCCCGATCGTACAATTTCACGGGCCTTTCCCCTTGCTGCCAGGTCGGAGCTTTCGAACCTCTCTCCGCTGACCAGTTCGATTTGTCTTTCCAATATTGGACCCGTTGCTGTTGCCACATCTTCCGAGCTTCTTCCTGTTCCGCGTCTTCCTCGTTGTTCGACCAGTAATTTTTCTCAACGGGTAGATAGCCCCGCTGAGGCCAATATTTACCCTCGTCCGAAGACTGCCTCCAAGGCCAATCTATAGGTAACAGTCTCTCTTCCGTTCTCCACGGTGAATCGTACCTGTACGAGAGATCTGGCCAACTCCTGCTTAGTTCGTAGTCGCGAGACGGTTCGTATTCTTGACGAAATCTATCGGCCTGTACGTTAAAATCGATTGGGTATTCTTCGTCGCGTCTTCGTAAATAGTCTCGGGATTGAGGATATCTCAATGAATGGTATGCTTCCTCTACGTCGTAATCCGACATTCGTTCTGGGTCTGAAATCATAGAGAGATCCGATTTCTCGAATAATTATTGTTAAATTCAGATTTGTTCGTCCGTGTCGAAAAATTTGTAAAATCTCTTGCAAACGAGTCAATAAAAAATATTATTTCAGGTAAACAATTATTTATTCGTTCGATTAAAATAATTTTGTACGCGTTTATTATAAAGCAATATTTATTCAGTGGATGCATTCGTGCATTTCATTAAATGACGATTTATTTGTATGTAAAGAAACACTTTCTGATAAAATTGACAAATGAATGCGCGTTACAATTAAGTGTCTGACCTACCTAGTCCATCGTACGCGTTCGCGAACTCCCTGTGGGGCTGAACGTGACCTGGCTCACGAGTCCCGATCTTGCCAAACCGCGGCAACCTCTGATTGCCGAGTTCGCCAACTTCGTCCGGCAGTATTGGTTTCCTATCGTCGGAGAAGGGCCTGGACTTGTTTTGTTCGATCAGCTCCCTGATGGAGGGCAAGCTCCTCCGGTTTTGCGTAACGGAGTAGCCCGCGGCCTTTTCCGTTCCCTCGGGCGAATCTCGACCCCACCACCAAAGCGGGACGATCAAGCGTTGAACGGGCGTCGTTTGCCACGGCGTTTCAGTGGTAGTCAACAGAGGCGGCGTCGCCGGCACGGGAGTCAATGTCGTCGTGGTGAAACGATGCTTGGCCTTCTTCTTCTTCTTCAGCTTCTTCCGGGACTTCCTCGAATCCTTCGAGAATTCCGTGGTGCTCGGGAACAGAGTGGACGCAGGCTCGTAACTCCGTTTACCCGGATCCAAACCGTTCCTCGACAGTTTCAGCTCGTTTTCCGCGTTCACTGCCATTAGAATGAGATAACCCGGATTGTAAACGTCGCGATCTTTTAAGGTCGTTCTGGCTACTATTTTCCCCCTCGTTTTAAGAGCAAAAATTCACCGGCAAATGGCAGAAAAGTCATTACTCTAGCCGCTTAAAGTCCTGCTCAGACAGTTTTGTATATAGAAACGCTATTCAAGCACTCGTTTACAGATACATGCAAGCTCGTTTGTTTTTTAGAAAGCGCGTCGCGTCCATTTAAAATGAGTCCGCTCGCGGTGTTTACATCCATCAGCGTTAGCAAATGGCTATTATTAAAGCGGCATTGTTCCGGTAATGGAGATTAAGAAGGTTCCGTGTGCAAAGCGCTTTGCCTACTGTTCGCCTCGGTGCGACGCGTAGACTAACTTGTTCTCGGATTATTCACTGTCCCCTTATACATTAACCAGCCGCGAGCACCGGGCGTTAGCCGAGAAATTAAGGGACGCGTTTCATTCGCGAATGGGACCGGAGGGAAATGATCCAGTTTCCAGTTCACGTTCCACCACTCGGGGGACGATAATTCCGATTAAAAAGGTCCGCGTTTACAAGAGTATTAGATTCTCAAGCGACAAATCGTTTCGCGATCAGAGCGGATTGTGTAAATCCTCGTTCGAGTTCCGCTCGCGTTTCCACTCTTTGTTCTTGGCTAATTCAATGGTAGCAACGCGAAACGGCAAGGGAGGATCGTGCTGTGAAATGGGTTAACGTATTGTTCGCGCGGCAGGAAGTAATCGAACGAGATCCGAGCCGAGGGTGAAGTCGGATCGGAGGGTTGCTATGAGGAAAATCCGACCGGAGAAACTAACCCGCGACCGAATTACATTGATTCCCAGGTTACATGGCCCGACTAATTGTCAGGGTCCAATTACATCCGACAATAACGCTATCCGTCTAATCGGCCCATTGTCTGGCTTTATTCGATTCCCCGTTAGACTCGATTAGCAGCGTGGATCTTCGCGCGACAGATTTCCCTTTCTAACAGTCTAAGCGGTAGCTCGCTCGTATTCGAATCTATTTACTCGTGAATGGGTTTTGTGCCGGGAAAAGGTTTCTCTCCTGGGCCCTTCCCTCGTTACGCGAGAAAATTGCTGTCGCTTCCTGAACCGCGTTTTAATGTTCAGTTTAAGGTACGTTCCGGGGCGCTCGATTGAAATTTAATTTTTCCACGTGTCCATGACCAGTGGGTCAGGAATCGTTTTAGGTGTACGTGTGGTCGACGAAATGCGGATGAATCGATGTAACGCGATGTAACGTGCAGGAATTTCGGAACCGAATGGCGAACCTTCGTTAGGGAAATCGGTCGATGCGATTGAGGTCTAACGAGAACTAGAACTGTTTACCCTCGCGGAATTTCGATCTGTTCAGAATACTGTCTACAAAGCGTTACTTACCGAGCAATTTCTGCACGCGCTCCCATCGATTCGGATTCTCGGCTAGGTTCACCAACAGTTTCAACAAGTTCTTCGCGAGGACGTCTTCTTGAGCCTAGACCGACAACCGAGCAACAATAATAATTAATTATCGCGCACCTCGAACCACTAGCGGGTGCAGTTTCATTGTCGCGAGCACTTCAACGTCGAAATCATACACTGCGCGCGGGATGCTCTCCTCACGAGTTTCAATTACCCAACCCGGCCGACTTAATCAAACAGATTAATTGTCTTTAATTAAATGAGAAATTCCTTCGTACGGGATTCCGTTCTTTCGTACGGACGCTACGACGCCGGTAATACTTGAATCGAGTCGCGTTAATTCGCTTTACTCCTGCGTCAGCTTGTATCTGTTAACGGAACTGACAGATCAGCGCGTACGAAATGAAACTCGTTAACGAAGTCGTTCAAGAGGGAGAGAGAGAGAGGGAGATTCGAAACGGAAGCTCGACCGGGAGAGAATTTTTCTTCGTTTCCGCCGTTTCCATCTCTCGTTTTTTCCACTCGAACGTATTTTGAAAAATATGCACGCAACGCGTACCGCGGCGCCAGAGCCTCGCTCGACGATCATTAACGAGTCACGAGCGAGAGCTGCGCTCCGCGCTACTCTCCACTATTTAAATTCATATCTCCATTAATTAGGCGCGCGAGGGTGCATGATACTTTCTATTTTTTTTTCTCCATACGTCGATTCCTGAACTATGTAAGAAAAATGAACAGGGATTGTATGGGAATAAAGTCAGAATTAAGATTTTGTAATCGTACAATTTATTCGTCGTGATACGATTATACAGAACAGAGAAAAAGAGATTCTAATTCTTGCGAGCGATACGTCACTCGATTTTCGTTAATGATAAGGGAATGGTAGACTGTAAAGGTGAATTATCCACTCGTGTAGTGAAGTGTGCTCGACATGGCCACGAGGGTGGCCTTCCCGGATGCCGTGCTTCGTAATTTCCGCCCGAAACCTCGTATTCCGTGTCGAACCACTCCGACCCATAGCGGTGATCGTAAATCAAGAGAATTAAGATTAACAGCTTCGTTTCGCGTATTCCGGGTTGTTCTCTGTCTGTTAACCCCTTCTCGCTGATAAACCCTTTCACGATCGACGACACTGCGAAGGAATCTCTCCTTTCACAGCGTACCGTCTTCTCCGCCCGTCTCTCAGTCGTCTGTTTGATGGAAATTAACGCAGTTCCTCTGTCCTCCTAGATATCCTCGTCTGTCCCGGGTGTTTCTTCCAACAAAGCTGCACCGGTTTTGTTTCTATTGTCCGCCCTTTTTGTGAAGTGGAAACTCACTTTAGCAGCAGCTGATCTCTGTTCTCCTTTTCGTGAAAACTTTCTAAAGCTTCAATTTCATCGTGGATAAAAATCTTTCTAACCCTCTCTTATCCGACACCTTTCAAAAGAGAGATGACACTGTCTTCATCTTCAGCCTCTCGTACCTAGGAATCTTTTAATAAAAGTCCTTCCTCTCCTTTTTCGTCATTCTAACACTGTTCCCGAATAAAGTCCCGTCCTTTCCTTCTTCGGCTTGATTTAATAAAATTCGGCAGATCTCCCCGTTGTCCCCGTAACCATTTTTTCCCTATCTGCGAACAAAGGTTCCTATCCGACCTCGTTTTACAAATCTTCTTTTCTTCGTCAATGCGTTTTCTCGTCTGAAGCTGATTCAATAGTCGGCAATCGAGAGCAGCTTGCGTGAGTGCATACACGAGAACGATATTAAATTAGCTGCGAGAACGCGGTTCTTTGTGCGGACTGCACGATAAGTGGTGGTAGCTAGCTGCCATGATAATGGCTCGAGCATGAGACATCTTTGCGACGCGACGCGACGCCGGAAAAACGCGTCCAATCTCCCCGGAAGCGAGCCTTTCAACCTGAAACGTCTCGTTGCCTCTGGAACGCTGATGATAGCGGATGATTACGTTCCATAGAGATAGCGCAATCGTATAATAAGATAGCCTGAATAAATTCTTTTCAGACAATTTTTATGAAACGCATCGAGACAGATGATACTAAATTGTTTTAATCGTTCATTTTTCATCACGGAATATTCATTTCTGTTTCATTTAATTAATGAAGAATGAATCCATTCCCTGCGAGAGATAACGGCTTCCGCGGTCGGGCAATTATTATTTCCGGCGTTCTTGCGTCCCAGGTGCGATACAAATTTATTTTCAAGGATCGCCCTGTTTTGTGCGTGCGACAAGAATAAATAGCAGCGATGTGACCCTCGGAAAAGAAAGCAGGACATTGTCTCTCTCGGTGATAAAAGAAAGCTTGCCGGTGGTTAACCAGCCTGAAAGCGGGGCCGGCATTTATCATCTTGCAACATTTTATTCTTGTAACCCCGCAATGCCAACTTCCTCATTTGTATCTGACATCGACCTGCCCCACCGTTTCTTTGCACCACCCGAGATGCACCGCGCGACGCTTTTTCAAAATGTCCAGATCGCTTATACTCTGATTTATCTTGAAACTTGGAAACGATTATTGGAAAAGTTTATTTCCTGATCACAGCGATGCGAGTTTACAATGCGATTCAATGTATTGTAAGCCCAGGTTCAAAGGGCACAACTGCGGTTTCTCCTTTATCACAAGTCTTCATGTATAAGGTCTTTTATAATCAAAGATCGAGGAATACCGAAATCTCTGCCAGTTATTCCTGTGACTCCTGTCAGTCGGTCTTATATTTGTATCTCATATAATAATTTTTTTCCTCCTAAAACAAACTGGTGAACTTTGGTCGATTAAAACTGGGAGACTGAATGTACTGAAATAAAACTTCTATAAAAGTATGATACAAGTTCAGAACCCGGTCGTGCAATTTAAAATTTAATTTGCAAAGAATCTCGGTAGTTGGAAAGATCGGCGACGTAATTGTAAACTCTTCGATTCGCTTGGACGAGAGTAAGGTAATTTAAAGTTGAGAATCCAATCTCGGATCGGGTTCATTTGAAATTCCAGGAAGTGAATGATAAATCCCGGCAACGTTCACAGCTGTTTCTCCATGAAGAAACCAGGGGGCGACTTGTCAATTTAAATCATCGTTCCGGAGGGATCAAAGTCCTGCTGCCGCAGGTGGCTGCAAAGACGCTTTGACTGCGAACAAAGCCGCCCTCGCCGGTTATTGGCTCGGCGAACACGCTGGCCAGCTATCGATTTCGCGACTCTCTCCGATCAGCGACACGAAACGGTCCGCCGATGAATATTTCCTCTTTATTGTTCTCACCTTTATACTCGCCTCCGCAGATATCCCGAGCAAATGGCTCCTTTGACCGGGCAGCATCTATTTTGTATTCGGTTTTCATATTCATGTTCCGCGTGTCGCTCGGATTTAAACTCGGTTTCCATTTTTCGCAAAACAGTTTTTACGATACGAGTATATTTAATTCCGTCATCTCTAATTGACTCAGCTCTACCGCTTTAACGAGTCGAGATTGTTTTAAGTTTTTAGAGGGGAATTTCCTCGTGGAAAATCGTCCGTCCGTTCTTACGCGGTTTTCCGAAGCGCGACTAATTCTATCTAAATATAATTTCGTTATTGATATTGACGCAACAAGGAATATGGCCGAGCGGGAAATGTTTTATTAAGCCCGGAGATGGAAATTGTTAGTAACGGAATACAGAATCGTCGGGAAACAAGAGCGGCTGGTCGTATCCGCGATTAATTATTAAACGATTTAATTATTAAAACGGCTGGTTCCGGAAGCGAACTCACCTCCAGCTCGCGGAGCTTTTCCCGCTGCTCCTCCTCCGTCGCGTATTCTGTCAGCAAATAGGATTTCAGATCCTTTAGGACCGTTTCTTGCCTCTTGTCCAACTTCTTCGGCCTCTCCTCCGAGTTTCGATTGTTCTCAACGATCTCGCCCTCCTCCGAGTACGCCGGATCTTCCAGTCCTACCGGCTGGGTAACGCAAGAACAGTTTTCAACAAATTTCTTATGCTGAACGCGTTAATCAACGAACAACGTAAATCTAGCGTTCAATAAGTCTGTCAAGTATTAATGTTCGAAAAATTTCCGAAACTTTTAGAAATCTCGATTTATTTATCTCCCGAGTCATCGATGAGAAATCGGTTCGTGAAAATAAGAAAGCACACTCCCGTTCATAAATCGTAGAACAATCGCAACAGATAAACTTTTATTATAATTCCTGAAGCATAATCACTGCGTTTCTACTTAATTTAAATAACAGAAGTCTGTCGTTCTCGCATTTTATTCAGATCTAAGTTTGTCGATAATATTGCCTCGAACACCGCCGAGTAACTTACGGACAGGAGTGTACGCGTCTGAAATCGATGATATACGACTGCAATAACGATCGACATTCTTGTTGTTCGACTCTTACCCCGTTCTCAGCATTTCTTCGCCGGATCGCCTCGGTTTCTTCGCCGAGTCGATTCACCGGGTCTTCCGGTGGTATCAGATTCTTCTTCGGCACCTGGGTCTCATTGCTACCTATCAGAATTTCCTTCTGCGTGCTCAGTTCCTTCTTCACCGTGGGCACCCGCTTCGTTTTCGTACGGCCATTCGACTCTCCGTGGCTCCGTTCCTTTTTGTACTTCACCAACTCCGCCACCTGCGATCACGTTTATAAATAATAAAACAGGAATGAGCGAGGGAGGAAGGGAGATTGGATTGTGTCATACAGGCTGCTTGTTTTTCTCTCAGAAGAGATCAGTACGAATTGAGGTCGCGGTTCAGTCTACGAAATGCACTCCATAAATATTCTAATAGGAAGATTGGATTGCATTTGGTTTGGAAAGAATGAAAATTAATGGTACGAAAGGATTCGCGGTTAAATGGAATTATTTGAGGGTGAAGTGCGGGACGTGTAGCGCTACGACATTTTTCCTAATGCAGTAAGTAAAACTAAAGAGACACGAGACGTGTGCGAGCTCGGGAAAACTGTAAGATACAGCGTCGCTCCTAGCGAACGTTGTTACCTCGGCAAATAACATGGAATTTAAGAAGGCAACTACGGCTAACGCCTAAAACGACGAAACTCTATACAGCTGCGAGAATTCCAAAAGGTACTACGCCGCGGTGGAAAACGTCGACGCGACGCGCGAGAACAAATTAAAAATATAAATTCTCCGACGAACGCAAAATTACTTCGACGGCCCAAGGAAATACATTCGAGCTGAAATACGATTCGCGCGTGACTATTGGAAATGCTATTTCCCGTTTTATTAAGCGTTTCGTATGAAATAAGACGCGACGCGTCGAATGTATCAGGGAAAGTTCGTTTTTGACACTCCGGGCGCGAAATTCGGTTTCTCGTGCATGTTTAGCGGGCGCAAAATAGCACATTCCCGCCCTAGGGCGGAAAAGACGGAAAATGATATAATTACAACTTCGATGGCTTTTGTTATCGATTAATTTCTCGCCCGGCGTGTCAAAAAATAGTATGTGCACCAGGGCGCAAAGGGCATTCTGTCACTCGTGTGAATTTGTCGCCCTCGCTTCGCTTGGGCGAAATTCACACTCGTGCCGGTGCTAGAATGCCCTATTTTGCGCCCTTGGTACACAATGTACTATTGTAACACGATTGACGTATAAGAGTTTCAATTTTTATTCGAAATTCCAGTCTACTTTCCGGGACGAATCGAGGCGAAAGAGGGGACGCAATAAAGTCTCCCTGTTGCGAGGAGAAATCGTAGCTGAAGACGAATGGCGTGGTGTGTTTAAAATTTCAACTTTTCTCTTAAGACGTTACAAATGGATTTCCAATCGCGAAACAGACATGGGCCACTATCGATGCAAAGTATTTTCCGATGGCCCGAGTAACCGGTACGTCCTATGAGTCTGCCGATAAACATTAGACGACGGGACGATCGTAGCGACGAAATCGTCCTCGTATCGAGTCGAGACCCCTCGCTCGGTTCGTTCAACCGTCTCCCACTTTTTATCGCTTCCTCCCGTCCATTTCCGTACCTCCGCGACGAGTGTCGCATAAATAGAGTTGTTTTGCATTTTCTCGATAAATTGATTTTCCTAGTTCGCGAACTGCCGTTCGGATAATTGCCACGCTTTCAAATGGAAACGGAATTTCGAATTGTTCAGCGGGAAATCGCGTTCCCATTGAAAGTTTGTCGCTTTAGACGAATTCCGTTCCGCCCTCGCGTCGAATTCGACGCCGTGTTGCGAGAATTCGACCGATCGAACGTAACGCGTAACCGCAACCGTCGGGATCAAACGCGAACAGTCCGATTCGACGTTATCCTGGCGCTCGTCCAGCGGAGATCGTAAATAGAGCGCGGAAACGAAGTCGACGAGATTACGGTAGGTCAGGGTTGGGCCGACGTCGGGTCAGGGTTTTTGCACACCGTTCCAACGAAACAAACGGTGGTCAAGGATTCCGCAGGGAAATCCAGGTCATGGTGCAACGCGATCAATCGAAACTCACCGTTACTTCGACGAAAGCTTTCCGATCGCGGCACGTCGGACGGTACGGTTCGTCTGGAGGGTCTGGCGGAACGCGGTATCGACAGACTCTATACGCCAAATTTACTTTCGCGACTCGGGGCTTAATCGAAAATTTTATCTTCCTCGCTTTAAATTCCGTTAGAAGAGCACACATCTTCATCGGAGAAACGTCGTTATCCGCACCCGGGAATCTCTATTCTCCCGGAAGTTTCATCGGTCGAAGAAAAACCTTTTTGAAAAGGAGCTCCTCTACTTTTCTTCTAAGAAAGCTTCCGTCCGACGAGACAAACGAACGTTTCACCGCACAACTTTTCACCAGAGGCCGACGGGAAGAAAATAAGTATTTATGTACCTCTTGGTCGTATTTATCGACGAGCTCGTCGGTGATCGCTTCGTTGGACGCGACGTCCTCGTCTGAACTGTTCGCGGTGATCACCTCGCGGGAGTCGAAGTTTTGCGTGCCGACGGACGTCCCGTCTCGCACTCCGGTGCTCGACGCCGTCGACGCGTTCGAGTTCCTAGTATCGTCCTTCGACATCGCCTCGTGCGACTCGGCCACGGCCTTCAACTCGTCCTCGTACTCGTCCCCGCCCTCGTAATCCTCCTCCGTCTGCACGTTCTCGGACGGCTCGACGCGTTCCTGCTGACCCCGCGACCCATCGTCCACTTCCGACCCTGTTGCGTTCGCGCCGACCTGGAAACGGAAAAAGAAATATGCCCCGGCATGCGATAATACCTGGCTCCGTTCTAAACACGGTTCTAACGTAAAACAATGTTGGGTACTTTTTTATGACGCAGATAAAAGTTTGCGGTGTTACATCTCGTGAAAGTGGAACATTTATAAAATAGATTAAACATTTTCATTTCGCACGCACGGTTCCAATTTTTTTTACGAATACACATAATTGATTCTGTAGGACGTTACAACGAACGCGGGTTGTAGATATCATTTGTTACAATTGATTGTTTTAGTTATTTTATTAACATCTCGCCTCGGGATATTCGATTCATATAAAATCTGATATTCGCTTGTTACTCGCGGTGATTTTGCGAACGATAGCGGAATGTTTGTTTAATGGTAATTGGAGGCTTGGTCATCTGGTTGTTCGCGGTTTATTCAATTATCTAAAAACAGGTCGGTGTACATACAATTATGATATTGCATAAAATTAATGGGGTGGGTTCCGATAAGCCGAAACGTCGATGTTACCCACAGAATTGACCAAACATATTGGTTCGTTCTATTAAAAATTTTTGCTTTGGAGAAAAGTAAATTTCACGTAACTATCTTAGTCTCTTAATAGAAAGTCGGTACTACAAAATCGATACACATGTTCTGAATGGATTTCGAGAAAAGTTGGCGGAACGCATTGAATTTTTGCGTAGTTCGATAGTCGTGCGTTCCGCACGTTTTTAGAGACACCACATGGTTTTATGAGGTTTGTCACTTCACGGAATAGGGAAACAGTTATCGATTTCTGGTTTATTCTACGCGGAGAGAGAACATAAAATCGAAGACAGAAAAAGCTGATTTTTGTCTGGTCCGGGGATTAGAATTTACAACTCTAGAAAGCCCGAGGAGAAAGAAGCACCGTATTCGTTTTTACCGTCTAATTGCGAACTCTGACGAAATTACTATATTTCTTGTCGCGAGAAGGGGAGTCCTGAGAGAACGCGAACTTTCGGTGCTTTGTGTTTCCGATAAAAACATACTTCGACCGCGTAAGAAACGATTTATGACAGGTGCATATAGTTTGCCCGGGCCACGAATATCGACCTAAACGAGATATAATTGCAAGTGAAACACTGTTACACTTACCCTCGTGGCTGGTAACGATGCCTCTTGAGAACTTCTGGAAACTGAAACAAAAACCAAGATCGTATCGATCAGTCTCATCGTTCTTAAGGATGTATTAGTATTGGCTATACAGTCAATCCCAAGAGTTTATGCACTTTAGAAACGCATTTTTTAAAAAGAAATCAGACGTCGGAAGAACATTGCTAATAATAAACAACAAAAAGAAATTTTCGATTTTTCCGAGATTTTTCCAAGGGGTACCCCTTCAATTTCTTCCAAATTTTCGTTTTTGGCCAATAACTCCCAAACCGTTGGACATACGGAAAAATGGCATATAATCTTTCTTGTAGAGGACGACGTGATCTGCAATTTCCATGTAAAAAATTTTCGCTAGCTTCAATAGTTAACGAGTAATTTGCAAAAAACTATTTTTTCGTTTTTCGTCAATAACTCGTTAAATATTAATGCTAGCAAAAAGCTTTTATACAGAAATTGTAGATCTCTTGTCGTCCTCTACAAGAAAGGTCCTATACAATTTTCCCGTAGATTCAACGGTTTAGGAGTAATTAAGGAAAAATGAAATTTTTTGCCAAAAGTTCGCCGTTTCGACGCTGGGATGGTCGGATTTTGTCAACATCAATAAAATGCCAAATAATCATACGTAACTCGTTAAATATTGAAGTCAGAAGGACAACAACTTTTATTTGAAGCATTTTTCGAAATTTTGAAGAAAAAAATTTTTCGTCGTATAATATATACCTAAATTTGTGACAACTAAAAATATGTGACAGTAAAAAGTCTGTGAATTCTAACGAGCGTGGATTAAATATTAAAACTAAAAGCAAGAGAAAAGGGGGTGAAAGGAGAAAAAATAACGGAAAGGGACAGTGAAAAAATCGTAATAAAAGAAACGAAGAACGTTGGGAAACGTGACACAAAGTGTGAACGAAAAAAGAGAAGAGCGCGGCTCATGAATGCGACGGGATAGAATCGCAAACAGAAAGATGGGGAGGCTCGAGTTCCGGACGAGGAAAAAAAATTCGCTCTTTTAAAAGTGACGGGATTCTTTTTTTTTCCTCTTTCGATTCTCGCGAAGGTAACTCATTTCTACCGTTCTACCTAGATTCGCTCGCTCGTCATAATTAACTCCGGGCATACTAGAGAGGATCCCCCGTCGTCCTCTCCCGTAGCCTCTTTCCCCTCTCCCGCGGGATTCTCAGCGGACCCGGTTGTTTTCGACCAACAGCCGAAATTGCAATTACCTACTTATTTGTGCTCGTTTTAATCCCCCACGGGATCTCCGACACTGTTTCCAATCTGTCCTACATAATCGACGAAAGAAACGCGAGCCTGTCACCGCTGTTTTAAATATCTGCTTAAACGTCAACTTCCGGGGGAAACTTTTCTACGAGTCGACCGAGATGCAAGTTTAATCAGACCTCGGATTCGTTTCAATCGCAGTCGTTTCTGAATAAGGGATGCCGCGAGAAAGAATTTTGTCGTGACGAGCCTGATCGACGTTTCCGAACGGGTCGACCGAACATCCGGGATGGCGAGAATTATATTCCCGACGGAATTCATCGAAATTCGCCGGCGTGGAATTTTTAGTTAGTTCGTCGCGACGCGAACTCGGGGGACTGTCGAATTAAAATTCTCACGGACGAACTGGATTTCCGTACGGTCTTAATTCATAAGCCGGTGGTTCGATATCTGCTTATTTAAATTGCATTCAGGATGAATTTTTTAAAATGATGTGTATGCGACTTCCGAGTTAATTCAAACACGTCGCTCAGGATCGACGATCAGTTCGTTTGTGAATTCAAAATATAATTTCTCGTTCGGACTCTCATAGTCCAATTTTTATAAGAAAGACTTAGTATCTCTCGACTCAGAATATTTATCTGCGTTCATAAGAATTTCGCTCGCCGCATCGCGGCTGCTTGTTAGGAAAAGAAGTTCGTCCCGGAGGAGAACATCGATCGGGAACGATGAAACTCGTAATCGGAGCGTAATGGTCGCTGGAGGGTGACAAAGGCAGGGGCTCGACAAAGGTTGTAATTCCCTGGCCTCGGCTAATCGCGACTCCCGATGAGAACAACATCGATTAAACATTTTCATCAAACGCTAACGAGCGACTGAAACGAGATAACGCGTTTCGCGTTGCGATAATTCGAGACCCGGATCAATGTCAAAAAAAGCTGGCATCGTCACTGTCAGTGGAAGCTCCGGAACAATACTGAGCGTAGAATTAATCACTGCTACGTTCACGATAACGCGTGCATAGCTGCGCCCTTTTTTCACCAGCCGAATGCAATTTAACCATTTTTACCGCATGTCACGCAATATTTTTTAAGGGACGGAACTAACGTTTCATCGTGTTCGGGAAAATCTATTTTACCAGAACGATTTGTGGTTTTTCATATTGCCCGTCGATGAATCGTTGCTCCGATCCCTTCCATTGGTAATTGACTATCAAAGAACTGTGATTAATACCATTTAAAATAATATATCGCGAATTTATTACGGTCATGAATTAGATTTCATTACCGAATAATTTTCCAGTTAAACTGTTAGCCCCGTTAATCGATACGCGAACATGAATAAATGGACCGTGATGAATTTCCTGTTTTTAACACACGGTCAGTCGAACGTAATGCATGTTTACACGATTTATAAATGCGAACCATTTGACTTTTGTCTTTCTGAACTCTTCCCGTTGGAATTCGAATAATCCTCTCGCCAAAAGCTGTACAAATTGGAACGTTAATTGGCATTTATTCGAAAATCACATGAGCGTTTTATCATCAGATTTATATTCCGTTAACCGGCGTCGAGTCTCGCGGTGCGATCAATTTCATCCTTTCCGACGTTACGCGACGTTTCTCGATATAATGCCATATCGGTGACTCGACAGAGGGGATGAGAACGTCGATATTTTCATCATCAGTTATTTCCCTCGTTTATGAGTTTCGGGTAGGGGTTAAAAAGAGGACTCCTCCTCTTTATTGGCGTGTTTTTCGTTACGTCACAGAGCACACCCTGGCCCAGGCAGGGCACGGCAAAAACCGCTCGTAAAGGTCCTGATTCAGCGTGGATGTAACGGAAGACGCGGACGGTCTTTGGACGAATTGCCGAAACGTGCCGGGCGATATAATTTTTAAGAGCAATAAAAATGGAACGCGCTGCGGCGGAGATTGGCTTGCCATTTGCCCCGTGTAATAAACGAGGCTGACGTTGATTATGGACGATAACAGAGCGCGGAAGGCAAAGCTCGTTCCGTGTTACTGAGAGCTTAAATTTCGAGCTAAAGGAAATCGAACTCCTCGTTCTTTTTTGCATAAAGATAATCCGTACAGTCTGCTGGTTATTGATAGGAATTTATTGACAGGAATTCGATCTCTCTTAAAAGGATTATACACTTTCTGTAGTAACAGGAATTCGAAGAGTTTCTTTTAAAAACTAACCAGGAATTTCATTTGTCCAAAACGAATCCACCCTCCTGCAGTGCCAGGACGATCTCTTTTTTTTTTTTTTTGTAGAAAAAACATCAGGAATTTGATTTCTTTTAAACGAATCAAACTTTGTAAACGAGAGTGCGACGTGAAAAATCCGAGGGGATAACCGGAGCAGGAATGCGAGGCAATTGAGAGGCCGCGTCAGAGACCCGATCGGGTATTAATATCGACGCGGTCCGCTCGATTGCACTTGAGTGGCCCGCTAATTGTAGGTCAGGCCTCGGTCCGACGAAGAAACGATGATTTATTGCGCGGGACGCGGAAGTCTCGCTCTGTCGATTCATAATTGAAACGCAGACTATGAACCCGAGGCCACTGTTCCCGGCGTGGAAAAATCGCCTGTTCACTTCGCCGCTTGTTATTTATCCTTTTCATCCCAGATCAAGAATTTTTCGATCTTGAATAATATTAGGCTTAAATGAAAAACCGTTGTTTCCAATGGTAATCAATTTCATGTATTTCTTATAAGTTTTAAAATAAATATGTACAAGAGGAATCTTATAATTAGAGGATATGCGCGAAATTAACTAAAGACTACTCGTTTAGGTTTTTTGGTACGAATAAATTGTTCACTGTTGAATTATTTACACGACTTAAATAACAAAAATGAATCTTCATTTATAAGAAGATGTAGTCTCTCGTAGTACTCTGTCGAATGTCTTTCACAAGGCAATTCTAAATGTCTTGGTCATATATAATACTATTCTCAGAAAGGGTCTGCTTTCTGAGATAAGGCCCGAAACAGTTTTAAGGGGAGGTAGACCCTTGTCTGTTGGTCTCACTTCGAGTGCGTTAGCTGGCGAGCATAGACGTCCTTCCAAGCCAAGTTAAGAATAAAATATTATTCAAAATATAAAACTTTTACTTTTATTCATCCCCATAATCCAATATTCGCCATCAACGTATAAAGAATTATTTATTTCTAAAACCCGTTTCCCACGTTCGGACCCCAGTTAGGCCTCCAATTCCAACAAATCGAAATAAAAATTTGGGAGGCATGAAAAAAGGATCGACGACCTGTCGACGGATTCGCGGCGTCTTCGGTAGCGTATATAATCGTTTTTAGCGAAAGCCACGGTGTAACGAAGCCGCGACAGGAAAGATAAAAGACTTATCGGAGCGAATATTGGTGGGCGCGTATCGCGGGCACGGTTTTCCGATACTTCATCCCTCGTTAATCCCTCTCTTCGTATTCTGTCTCGCTCTCTCTTCTTTTCGGTCCGTATCTAGGCTGGCAGTTGGCCACGGAAACGCGCAATCTGCACCCGGTGAAAGGAAATCCGCGTGGCTGGAGATCGATTAATACACGCCGGGGCGAGCGTGGAAAAAAGCTCGGATTAAATGAACTTCGAAACACGATACGATGTTTACGCGCGGCTTTCCAGCCGAAAGCTCTGCACTGTTCTTAATCTATAATGAAGTCATTTCTTCGGATGATTCATTCCAACGAATTTTATCAATGCTCGCTCTATTACCTATATCCAAACGTTTCGTGGAGTTGAAGATAAAATTAACCCATTTATGTCACATAATGCCAGTCATGAAAA